TATAAAGCGTCCTCTGCAACAAGGCGGTGAAACGACAAACTGTCAATATTGCATACGTATTGGATTGTTTGCAGATTGATATAACTTTTCATACTTATACAATTTTAAAGTTGCTTAGAAGGACTTGTATACTTATTATACCTTATTTTTATTTGTTTTAGAGCTGGCATCAGATATGTAAATATTGTGGAAACTACAGTCCTTGATATTTTCTAAATTCGCATTTTACTAAATCCTTATTTCCCCTTTTTGATGTAAAATATTATGAAATCCAAATTGACAGTGTCAGTTAGTTATTATAACTTGTTTTTATTTGTTGAAAATTTAACATCAGATGTTTTTCTGGTATCAGATATAAGGAACAAATATCTAAATATTGTGGAAACTACATTGAAAGACAAAGCATTGTATTTACCAATTTTGCCTTTGATTTGTTTGTATTTTTTAAATTTGCATTTTATTCTATTTTTTTTTGTTACATGTTTATATATTCTATATTAAGTGGACTGAATTTGAGAATGTACCAAAAGTTTCATATGTGAGACCTCAAATGATGAAGTTATGATTGTGATCACCTTTACTGACATTAAAAAACTTCCATGTTTCTAAGCTTAAAGAACTTGGTGTTAAAGTTAAATTATTTTCGAAAAAATGCAGTCTTTCCAATCATTTTCTTGTATAATAACTTTGGTGTTGCAATTTTCCTTTTAACTTAATAATAGAAGCAAAATTTTCAAGTAAAAAGAAAGTAGATGTGGCTAAATAAAGAAAGCAAATAAAAACTCTAATTAAAATGAAAAAAAAGCTTAAATTCTAATAAAAGGTGTAGTAATTCGCAATAATAATGGAAATTGCAAAAACATCATGAAAATTTAAAACCTAAAACTGTTCAAAATGTATCCCCTCAGATAAAAATCACACGGATTAAGGTCTGGTGATGGAGGGTGTATTATTTAAATGCAATTGAAAGATTTTGAGAGTAAAATAGACCAATAGTGTATTTAGACGAAAACGACACAGTAAAAAAAGGATGGTGTGGTAACAGTAAGAAGTGTGTACTAAACGTGCCGCCTTCACATGGAATACCCATAATAATTCTTCATGTTGGGTCCTAAAATGGTTGGGTGGAAAATGCCTTATTTTTGTCTGTCAGAAACGTCAAAGATTCCATTGTTGATTACCATGAAAACATGACCGCGGAAATATTTGAGTTCTGGTTTGAAAATAAACTGTTGCCAAAACTATCGCCAAATACTGTTATATAATGCCTCGTATCATTCAGTCCAAATTAGAAAAATTCCAAATACTTCTTCAAATAAAGAAGAAATTAAAGAATTTCTCTGCGACAGTGATTTATATTTTGAAGAGAGCTACACGAAAAAATAAGTTCTGGAATTATTAAAAATTAAACATTTTAATAAAGACTACAAAATCGATTCCATAGCACAACAAAACGGACATGAAATCTTAGGATTTCGCCCGTATTATTATATATTTAACCCGATTGAGATGATTTTGTCCTAGGTGAAAGCGCATATCAGAAGAAATAACACTGCGCCAAACTGTAGTGATAGTACCATAAACGCAACTCGGCAAGAGGGAGCTATAATTTCAGCACCCAGCTTTGTGCTGTGAAAAACGAGTAATAAAAGAAGAAAATGTTTATCGAGAACGATTAATGGCGGAGTTGATCATTGAACTAGCAATAGTGACGGTTTTTTAAGTGACTGATACTTTATTATTATTATATGTAATATTTTGTATATTAATAATGATACTATGTAGAATTGTAATGAAATATAACGTAATAAATTGTTACTTTGTACTATGTTTTTTATGTATATCTTTCAAGATTTGTTCGGCGAAAAAGATTGAAAATATACTCATATCCCGCTTGTTAGGGTCTTTTAGGCAGGGTTTTGAGGTAATAAACACTATATTTCTGGTCGAAGTATACCACCGTTGCGTTATCAATTTCACCATTTCCGATTATTAAAACGTTCGTTGTGAATCGTCTCGTTTTTCTGCTTAATAAAAGCTGAAAATTTGCCCCCACGTGGGGTGAATTAATCCGTTTTCGTCCGCAAAAGGGGTAGGAATCGAATCGGGAAGTTGTAGATTAAAAAAAAAAACTCGTCAGAAAAAAACACATATCATTAAGCTTTGGCAAAATGGAGTGTCGGTCTGACATCGGTCCCAACGCAAACAAAAAAACAAGTTGTCACACGTAAAGTTTGAATCACCGAACGTTCACGCACGATAGGCCTTCCCTTCGCAAACCGGAAAAAGTTTAACAGAATCATCCGCCCAATCTTCCTCTTGCCAAAGTGCGGCATAAATTTTTTGCCGAACCCCGAAATTTTATCATAAATGCCCCCTTTATGGGCTTAATTCCCCTGTCACCGGCTCGGATACTCTCATAATGTGTTTTTAAATAGAAGTTTTCATTTGCATCTCAATAGCAACCCGATTAACGGTAGCAGGGAGCGTCCTCTATTTAACCGCTGCTCTAAAATTTTAAAACTGCCTTTATACAGAGTGTTGCAGATCTTGGAAGCGGAAATGAGTGTTCTGTTTGCCAAAAAGAAGTTAACTTTCTATGGTACACTGGCTGGCTAGGCTGTCAAAGTTACAATTTCATTTTTTTAATAATTGAGCTATTTGCACAAAATTTGAAAAATTGAGGTTTTTTGACATTTTCAGTTACAATTTCAGAAATGCAAAGCATTATATGATTAACTTCCTAAACACCAGTTAGGATTTTTTAGATCAAATCCACAATATTAAAGAAGTGTTGCAGAAGTTCAATGAGAAATTACACCCGCAAATATCCTGGTATATGTCCGAGTTGACAAAAAATATAAAACAGGAAGCAAAAAAGATAAAAAAATAAAATCACAGCTCAAACCTGCTTATGAAGCATACCTTGAAGAATACAGCAAAGCGTCCCTAATGCTCAACCAGAATCTCTGGTACCATGGTTTATAACGACAATACTCTTGACAATCCTCAAACCATCTTTGAAGCTCTTGCAAATTATTTCAAGAATGCAGATTTGAACTCGGGTGCCATTAATTTCTATCCATTTACCGAAAATGTGACCTTGGTTAATAATTGTGTTAGTGCTTTCCCCAAACCTTTATTAGTGACATTTAGTCAAGCGTTTTTTTCTGGAATTTATCATCGATATGGGAAGGAATCAAGAGTTTGTCCTATTTTTAAAAGTGGTGAAATAAGTCACGTAAGTTATCATAGATTTTTTCAAAAATACTACAAGTTGTTCTTTTTTTCTTTTTCAAAGAAACTTCCACAGGCTACTGTAATACTATTTTTTACAAAACTTCTGGATTCCTCCTGCGTCTGTTTTTGCTGAGTCCAACTTGTTGACGTTTCGCCAATCATCCTGTTGGCTTCTTCAGAGCTTGACTGAAACTTTTTCGGTCAAGCTCAAAACCAACGCGGGAGGAATCCAGAAGTAAAAAAGTAATACAAGTAGTTCTGTACAACCGTATTTTCAACCCAGTAAAGAACATTATCCCACCAAAGCACTTGGAGATTTAATTACCTTGAAGAACTTAAAAGATATAGATTAGATAACAGATCCATAACAAGGTTCGATATACACGTCACTGTCTCCAAAGGATGGATTGACTCCACTCAACATTGTCAGACGAAAGTGTCTTCAAATAAAGAATGCAAAGAATATTACGGATTCTCGCTCTGATTATCATGAGGATACAAGTGCCGAACTATTTGAAAATTAATTTCAAAACAATCTTTTAAAAAACAGTGTTGTTCTGCTACCCAAAGCACCAACCTGATCAAGTTCAAAAACTGAAATTCCAGAATATTTGTTAGAAAATTATATTTGTTTTGAATTCAGTTACAAAAAAGCGGAACTTTTCTAAGTTCTAAATTCATATGCAATTAAAAAACAGTAAGTATGCAATAATTTGACTGAACAGGCTACTGCTTTACATCTTCCTCCATATCATTCCATGTTTAACCCCATAAAGCATTTGTGGAACCAAATAAAAGCAAAAGTCAGAGCAGAAAAATGTTACTCATACTTTAAGTTACAGTGTTATAAATTTCATAAAAAATGTAATTAAAAACATGCCAATTGACATACAGAGAGTACAGCACATAAAAATTGAGAACTCTTATATTTCAATTTCTTTGTCCTACGAATCTGCGTAACATATTTAATTTTGTTTATTTGATCCATTTTTTTCTTGTTCTTTGGGTAAATTTGTTTACAACAAATTGAGGCTTGAACAGTGTATTACTTTGCTTTATGTCTCCGTTTTATTAGGCCTTTTGTTTGCCTTAAAATTTGTACTTTGTAGTGTAGTGTGTGTGTGTGTGTGTATATTTTTCACAGCAATGAATGTATTATTATTATTAATATTATTTTATGTTGTTTTTTCTTAGTGTAGTGTGAAGTAGCTTTTACTTGATTAATGTTCAGGTTTCCATAGTTATTTAATGATTAATGACAGCGTGCTTTTATGAAAACCAAAATATGTACCGATTATATTAAATACGTCACAACATCACAGGTGTCAGTTTAATCGCATATGCAGATCATTTTTCTCATTTGTATAACATGATAACATATGTGGGGTTATTATGTAGAAATAAAAAAAATAAACCAGTGTTTTGGTATTCTTTACCTACTGATTTAGTTAGCACAAAAATTTTGAAGGAATAAAAGATGTACGCAATTAAGTAAGAACATGTGTATTTTAAGTATATAATACTGCTACCTGTGGCCTGGTGAAAATTTTTCATTAAACTAACTAACCATTTTTTCTCTATTGTAACATTTCTGTCACTCCGCCCAACCTTCCGTTAGTTCTCTTCGTCGCTAAAGTGTTCGAAAATCGGAAACAAGCGTTGAATTTTTGCTGCGGCTCAAAGTTTTTTATGTTTGATGTATCGCCGCATACGTAACAATGGGTCGGATTCAAATTGATTGTGAAAACGTTTTGTTGCAGGAAGTAACTTTAAGAAAATGTAGTAGCGACGAAAAGCTGGGACTTACCGTTTGTTACAGTTCCGGATCTGAAGTGGACACTTGTACAGAAGTGTACATTCGAGATATCGCTCCACAAAGCGTGGCTGACAGAGATGGAAGACTTAGGCAGGGTGACCAAATCTTACAGGTAACATTAAGGGTAAAAAAATCCATGTTTTATGCCATACCACCCTCACTTTTGGAATTGATTACGTGCTGAAGGGAAAAATCAACAAATCCGAAAAATCTTCTACTAATATTCGAGAACTGCACAGGCGTTTTCCTTTTTTGTTATCTTAGCGGCAGAGAGGCGCATCTCTAGAGAGTTTATTTCATTTCCCTTTCTCGCAAAATACGACAGAACACTGTTCGGTTTAAGGACCGTGACAGACTAAGCAAAATGGCAAAAGCGTATGCTTAGTTTTCAGTGTGAAAATGGACGATTTAGTTGGGTCGAAGATATATATTGTTAAGGGCAGGCATTTACTTTTTTTACTGCAATTCTTGTAATTTGAAGATACTTTTATTAACATAATCATTATTAATTACTTAGATACCATTAAATTTTCTTGACAGTGTGTTGTCATTTTTTAAAATTTAATTCGCTCTTAAAAAATATTGTGTCATATTTCAATTTTAAATGAATGTGCCCTGATAGCATAAAGTGGAATTTTAAATAGCCCCCGAAAAATGTTAAGAATGAAATGCATTGGGACTTTGTAAGTAGACTCATAATTTTGAAACGCGGCTTCAAATTTTTGTGGCCGTTGTCAGTACAATTTTATTATGTTTCTGAGATGAAATAAGTATTATTCACTGTATAATGAAGCCCTTTTGCGGCTTAAATTTCTTTTTGAATCTAATTACCCGTTACTATCGATCATTACCTTGTCAACTTATAAAATTTTGGGTATTGGGATCTTAGCAGGCAGGTAATTTGGAAAAATAATAATCCAATAAAACTTTTTTTCATTTTTTTTATTTTTCATTTGAATCGAATGTTATATTCATTAAAAATTTTATGCAAAATAAATGCGATATTCTAAGACATGTTTCATTCCTGTGTGTTTCTATAAACCCCCAACTAAAATCTGGTGATGGAAAACGTGTGAAATTAGAATATGAAAATTACTTTGTGTTTTGCATTTTTTTTCAAAATTACAAAAAATATTTTAAATCATTAAATTTTAGGAAATACCTTTAATAAATAAGGTGTTTTTCAATAAAAAGAACACTTTGTTTATTTACTTATTTATTGTGAATTCAGGTGCAAACAATACATGGTACCAAAAAAACATCCTATAAGTCAAACAAAAAAAAATAGTATAAACTCTTAAATAAATTAATTGAAGAAAAACAAAACAGTAATATAACCAGTAACAAATTGGAAAAGTATAGTACACCAAATGTAGAAAATTTCGAAAATATTTAAAAAACATTGTTTTTTTTTTTTGAAATAAGAAAATGAAGATAATAAAAAAATGGCACAAATGGCATCAATGATGTGAAAAAATGTTGAATTCTGAGTACGGAAGCATTCTATATTTGTTCTAAGACACCTACTGAATACTAAACAAGTTGACTATTTTAAAAAGCATTAAACGGTTTTGCATAGTTTTTTTTGGCAATAGTTTTGATTTTCTACCGGGCTATTTGGTTTAAAAGGAAGGCATCGAAAAAACTTATTTTAATTAAACTAAAATAAATTACTGAAGCCAATAACAGTGTAAATTCCTACTAAAAAAACACATTATAGAGAGATGTGCTTTAGGAATCTGTAAATCTTTGGTATTGCTTTTTATAAACCATGTTCCTCATTCTCAGACCCTATACATATATACAAATTCCTCAAGTTATTTTCATTAGAAAAGTTAACTGATTTTTTGTTTGCCCTAAATTCATTCGTTTGTAAAGTAATTATGCGAGTTTTTGAAAAATTTTGAGCTTTAAAAAACACCCTTACAAATCAGACATCAAAAACAATTTTTTATAACTTTTGTGATCAACTTGAAAAATACAAAAATTAAAATATTTTTTTTTACGCAGAAAATTTGAATAAAAACATTCCAAATCACCCTTCCTTAATTTAACCGTCGATTTCCGAGACACCCTGTATAGAAAAGCAAAATATAACAATATAAATATAATATTAAATTTATTTTAATAGTTTTATTTGAAGCGCCACTGCAATTACTTTGACCAAAAAGTTATTGTTAATATTAAGAAGAATTAAGTTAAGTTATTTTGACAACCTGTATATGAACAACGAAACAATGTTGTTGATATGGCGTTTTTTCGAAGCAATTGTTAAATTTCTTCTATCATATTTTCATATAAATATAAAAGATGTGGTATTTTTATTAATTCATTTATGAACACATATATATGAAGGTACATTAAATATATTTTGCAATATGTTATTTACATTAACAACTGTTCTGAAAAGTATAATTTAAGAAAGATTATTTTATTTCATCTTGTTTTATTTTTGAAAAATGAATATCATTAATATGTAATTCTTCTTCGGCTTATTGATTAACAACATTTTGCGGTGTATTGCGTGACAAATTTTCGTCTTTCATCTTCATCAATATGAAATGAAGAATGCACAGAATCGATAATGACATCATCATCCAAATATTCTAGGCTTACAAAATTATCATCAATGTGGATAAATTCATTGAACTTATTTTCAAAACAAGAAAATTGTCTAGAGTATTATTATCATCTTTCTGGTCATTTTTCTTTCAGCCATTCTTCTAATGTGAAGTCATCATCTGAATCAATATCATTTTCCACTCTCAGGAAATCACCGTGTTGAAAACAATTAAAAATTATGTGTTTTGAGACCCTCTGCCATGCCCTATGAATGGAGTTTATTCTATCCGTTTAAAAACTTCAACCCAAGATGACACGATGATCCATAGGATGTAGTTTTGATCTGATATTTGATTTGGTAAATGATTCTTCAGCTTCTGCGTCGTAACTCGTCTTCCCACAGTCATTTCTTGGTTAGCCGTTTGTTCTGCTCCAAATATTTTACAACGTCCATATCAACAACAGAAGATTCTCCAACAATACTTCCACTGGTTCTATTAAACCTTTTTGTTAAACCTTTCTATCCAGCTTCTATAGAACGCTCCTTTTCAACCTCTTCAGCTTCTGCTGATGATCAGATTAGTGTGTTACAAAATTCGTTATTACGATTTTAAAATTGGACCGTTCCTTTTCTAGGTTAACGGAAAGGATGTCGCTAATAAAGAGGAAACCGAATCTCTGTTCGCCGAAAATAGAAAAGCTGTAACTTTACTAGTCAGCAGATGTTACAATAGGGTGAGCACTAAATTCAATTGAAATCGATGCCTACATCACTTCGCAATTTCTTTCAGAGCGAAGAATACTTGGATACGGAACCTGTAGATGCGATATCGCCTAACGGGCGTCACGCAGCTTATCAAAACAGTATCATTGAGCAATTAGTGCAGCAGCAATCCGAACATTCCTCGAAAAATGACGCGGTGCCAAAAATACCGAACCATTTGGTTCCCGACAAACTCAACCTGACAAATTCATTAGTCAGGTCGAAAATCGACTCGATCAACCAGGAAATTTCCCAGCTAGATTACCGTATGCAAAATATCCACTTGGTGAAGTCCGATAAGAGAAAACCACCCCAATTTCCACATATTCCAGCGCCGCCTGAGTCAGATACGGAACATATATACGAAACTATACCCGAAGATTCTTTGATCGACGGTGAAATAGAACCGATATATTCATGTCCCTACGAACCGAGTGAGGAGAACATGATAGAGCAATGGCTCAAAGTGCACCAAGAGGACGTGTGGGTAGCCGCCACTCAAAAAGAGTCCCTCAACGAAGAGGAGGAAATAATAAGAGACGGTAAAGAATCGAAAAAGTCTAAATCCAAAGGAGCTAAGAGTAACAGCAGCGGCGAAGAGCATGAGAATAGTTCTAGTGCGTATAACACCGGTGGTTCTTCCAATAGTAATCCTCTTACTTTTGAATTAGCTGCTACTCAGGATGCTAAACAGAAAAACGTCTATAGGTAAGTCGATCGTTTTCCTGTCCGAAAGCGCTGAAATGTCACCAAATAAAATATAGGTTTAAGTCAGGATTTCTCAACTAAGATAGAATTTTTCACGTCCCTCGTTGGTGGATTGGCCTTTGAAGTGAATTTCTTTGGATACCATGGAGTCCAGGCTTAAAACTTCTGGACTTCTCAATATTTGGTATACGCTAAAGAAGTATTATTTAGTTTTATCTTAACATTCAAAGACTAACTAATAGATTCGGTCGGTTTGAAATGACAACATTTGATTTGAAGTTTCTTTTTTTACTATTTAAAAAATTTGGTTTTTATTGCTCGCTATACCTTTTCATCTTGTATTTACGAAAAAAATGGAAAAAACACCCGCTATATTTTAAATGCAACTAAGTAAAAAAAAGACATAGAGTATCTTTTCTATGAAAAATTAAACATTCTTTCAAATTTTCAACGTGTATCAACCATAATTCGACAGATGAAAAAATATGATTCGATTTATCTAAATAATACATTGAGCAACTTCGAAGTAAATTTAAAATTGGTAATTGTTATATAAAAAGACAACAAGCAATTTTTATTATTTTGTTACATATAAAAACATTCTTAATTAATGGTAAATAATATGAGGCATGTTGCGCTCAATCATAATATTTTAGTGTCTCCATTTTAGTTATTCTTCATTCTTTATAAATCACTCTGTATATCTGATGTCTAGATGGGCACTGTCCCATAGCTCATAAATTCTGTCTTATGTCCGAGAATTTCTGATTTAAATTAGAAAGACATATCAGAGTATTTTTATAGTTCAGAAGTTATGATTTAGCTTATCTATTATTGTTCATAAATAGTGAGGTAGCTCAGAAATTCTAATCTATTTTTCAGAAATTCGTACTTATTTCCTAAAATTCTTATTTAAATTAGAAGTTGTGACTTATTCCTCAAAAATTTAATTTAATGAAATATTCTATGGCCTCGTGTCTTATAGTCCATTCTCTATGAATCACCCTGTATATCTCATGTTTGGATTGGCACTGTCCCGCACGAGAGGCTTATGTCAGAAATTCTGGCTTGTTTTCTAGAAATTCTGAGTTATTTTCCATAAACTCTGACGTTACTCAGAAATTCTGACTTATTTGTCAGAAATCCTGATTTATTTTTCAGAAATGCTAACTTTAGTTAGTAATTGTTATTTAGTCCTTAAAACTGTTCATTATTCAAGTATTTTATTATTATATTTATGAATATATCTTGTTTTTGGTGGCCTTTCGGCGCTTTTCGTAGTTGCGGTTGCGTTATTTATTATTTTTATTATTGTTCACAGATCGACGTTGATTCTTTGTCCTTTGGAAGAAAAGGATGATCTCGCTAAAGAGAAGGAAACGAAAACCACTTGCGAGTCATGTAAAAGGCAAGCTTCCAAAACAAAAAAATCGAAATCAAGCGTTAAAATTACAAGCCCATCCTCGCCTACAGTACATAAACCTGGGCTGAGTCCCGCCCACATTTTGTCCGACACTATGTACACGAATGTGGCGAATCTTCAGCAAACTATGCTGCTACAGCAACAGCTGTTTAGACAGGCGTTGGTTCATCAAAATCCGGAATTTTCCACCAAACCGACTACTAGTTTCACGGCGCCGAGTTTGACTCAGTATCAGTTTGTGACCGGATCACACGTACGTGTTTTTTTGCTTTTTTTTATGGGTTATATCACAAATGTTTGGTCGTAGGTGGTGAGCGAGAGTGCGATGGTGGAATCTAAAATGGAATGGAAAGTGAAGAGAAGACCCGACGGTACAAGATATATAGCGAGGAGGCCCGTGAGGAATAGGATTTTGAAAAACAGGGAGATTAAATTGTCAGAAGAAAGAGCCGGACTTACAACCGAAGATGACACCATTTCGGAACTAAAAGTAATACCATTTTGCTGTTTGAATAAAATACCATATTCAAGGTCCCGTTTTTATCAATATAATTCATTTGAATTCGTTTATTTTCCATATTTAATAATAACAACTAAAATGGCTCGTTCTGCGGTTACAAAAACCGATTCCATGACTTCTCAGGAGACCAGAAACGCAAAAAATATATAAATTTAAAAATTATAACAATAAATATATGTTATATACGTTTCAGTATTCTGATAGCTGCTTTCATGGTCATAAAAAAGTAAATATTTAAAAAACGACTTTGTTGTACAATATGTTGTCAAAAGAACAACTTTTTTGATTCTTATGTGGTTTTGGTATATCTATCGATTTGGAGCAATTAAATAAGAACAATAAAAAGCATTTTTATGAATATTTATTTGATACATAATAAACGCCACTTATGACATGGATTTTCGCACTCTTTGTAACAGCCGTTTTTTTCTTATATTTAACAATCCGTTTAATGCACATCAGCACCCTCGACTCATGGATAGGTTACATAATACAAAATTAATTGTACAATATACAAAAAAAAAGACAAAAATACACATGCGCTCAATTTGAATTTTATGTCAAAAGTTAGCCTTTGTTATATATTTGGGGTTTACCGTAAAAACGGTATGTTCCCTTATTTGATACCGATACGAAAGATAATAGTTGTTAACATGCAGATCACATTGTTAAAACAGAAGAACAAATTTTTTATTGAAATATTTGACACTAGATCATTGAAAAACGTCTATAAATCAAACCCTGATTATTGTACTAACTGTAAATGTTAAATGTTTACATTTAAAAGTGAAAACGTTGAAAAATATTTACAATTTTTTTTAAGTTATTACGCTATCAATCGTCTTCCACAATGTTTCATTCATTCATTTTTTACACTTTGTTTTTCGGTTCATATAATTATGTTCATTTTTAAGAGTAACATAAACATTGAAACCAAATATTTTTGAATCCGTTTTAAATTTTCTATTAATGGTTTGTTTATGGTAGAAGCAAATTATTTTCATTTGACGGCAACAGCAATCTTTTTTGCACCCGAGTGTATATCTGGGTTAGAATATACGCATCGAAATGAACAAAAAACGCAAATATGCATTTTTATTATATGAAATACTATTAACATTAATATTGTTTTAAATAAAGCCAGAACAATTTCTTTATAATTAAGCCCGTTCTACAGAAATACAATAATTTTTTACCTATATCACAGACCATATTGTGTTGTGATGTGAATGCATCGGATGACAATTTATTTTTAATTCAATTAAATTATTTGTTTGTATTTATTATAATATTTTGCGACTTGAATCGAAATTTTATGCATACTAGCACTACAGCCAAGTGAATATTTATTTAGTTTATAGAACTTATCATTATTTTTAATCCCTAGCAATTTTAATCCTAAGAAACAATAGTTTGATCTGACAATGTATTTTTTAATAATTCTGAGTATCTGTTTCAACGAAATACTGATAATTTATATGAAATAAATTTTATTTCAATAGTGCGATGAGGTAAGTAGGTATAACCAGCTTCCGTATAAAGGAAGTGAATCAATTCAATTTCTTTAGGTCTCATAATATTGATCTGTGTAAATTTAATGAAAACTGTTTCCATTTTTGTTACGACTTTGCTTCCGAAAGCCAAAAAAAACTTGCAGTTGTTAACTTATTTTATTTGTTTTTATTTGCTGATAATTACATAGCAAATTGCAAAACATAAAAATCTTGCCGTGACTATATATTATTTAAAATTGTAAAAAAATATGTAATACAATTATAACTTGCACAATATACCATTCGTAAATTAATTAAATTCTTTGCAGTTATTTAAACAATTGATAACTAAATGTTTTTCAAAATTTCAAAAAAGAAAATTGTGTCTTTGGTTTTTAAACATGTGTTCAAAAATTAAAAAACTTCGGTCAAAATCTACGGAAGTTATCAGGCAGTATTTTGGTTCTGGAATTAAGTGTGTTTCTAATTTATAAACATTTCTTGAAATTGCCTATAAAAACTTCTGAAATATTTTCAATAACCAATACATTCTTTTTTTATAACAGTACCTGAAAATTTTGCAATTTACCTCATATTGATTTATTAAAACCACCGAATCTGTCAAAGAAATAAAGGTACGATCCAATTTCGTGAGTGCTATAGGTACAAAAGAATAATTTGGTTTTATATATATTAAATTTTCTCTTACGTTCTGGTTGGAAAAAGGAGTTTTTTGCATTTATTAGGGCGGCACAAGATGAGTGGAACTTCCATATCCAGCAGTTAGTAAAAAAGTTACGATCCTTAATGTATTTATTCCGGCAACTTACTAAACTACCTGATAAGCAATTACTTCTTTCTACTTATTTTTCACTGATACAATCACATACATCTTACGGAATAAATGGTTGGGGTGCTGCCTATCACACAACTCTTCAGCCCCCTTACGCAATACAAAAAAAAATTTGAAAATTATGTTTAAGTTAAATCTGCGATATCCATCTGACTTAATTTTTACTCAATTTCAAATACTTCACATACAAAAATTATATTATAAATCATCCCTTTTGTTCTTAATGAAAAATAAATTACTAATTCAAAAACTCACGTGTATGAAAAACCCTTTAAACTTGTAGAAAATTTAACTTTACACAAAATGCATTTATCTGTTGGACAAAAAAATTGCTTTTATACTGGTCAACAAATTTATAACGCACTACCTCTAGAACTGAAAAATAAAATGAAATTAAAATAAATAAGAACAAAAAGTTCAGATTTTCACCAAATTATATATATTCCTGACAATTATTTCGACAACAATGAGTCTTTATCAAATGTAATATTTACAAACTACCTGGTACTGTATATACCGAAATGTGACCATGAAACGTTAATTAATGTTGTGACAATTTAATTTCAATAAGGGAGAGGCATTTAAATCGAATTGATCGTTAAGCAATACATTTGAATGTCTCGTTTTGTTAATCTCCATGGCTTCCAATAAATTTAATTTTCTACTTTTTGGGGCTGTATGTAAAATTACAAAATTGTCGTCAAAAATGTGTTTTTCTGTGTTTAAGTGTGTAGCATAATTAGAACCTAGACTATTGTTTTTAAACGCTCTTTTATGTTCGTTAATGCGTTTCTTGAAGGATCTACCTGTTTGTCCAATATAAATTTTAGTACATGATCCGCATTTCAACCTGTAGACACCTGATTTTTGAGATTTTGGACATTTCGTTTTATTGTTTTTTGAAAATTTTCTTATTGTGTTGTTATATTGGCCAAACAGGTCGATCCTTCAAGATACGCATTAACAAACACAAAAGAGCGTTTAACACAATAGTCTAGATTCTAATTATGCTAAACACTTAAACACAGAAGAACACATTTTTGACGAAAATTTTGTTATTTTACATACAGCCACAAAAAGTATAAAATTAAATTAATTGGAAGCCATTGAGATTAACAAAATGAGACATTCAAATGTATTGCTTAACGATCAATTAGATTTGAAAACACCTCCTTTATTGAACTTAAATTCTCGCAACAACATTAATTAAGGTTTTCTGGTCATTTTTCGGTATATATAATAGCAGGTAGTTTGTAAATATTACATTTGATAAAGACACGGTGTTGTAGAAGCAGTTGTCATGTGAAAATATGTAATTTCGTGAAAATCTGAACTTTTAGTTCTTATTTATTTTGATAAATGGATTTTGATCAAGTAAAAGCCGCCTCAGTTCAATTTTTGAAATTAAAATCATTAAAACAAAATTAACTCACTTTTTTTGGTAGAATGCTATTTTTTTTTCATATTATATAATAGATGGGAAACATAGTTAAATTGATCTGCGTTATGTTCAAGGATAGCTGTCAAGTTAGTATGCCTTGAATATAAGTATTTTTTCTATTAATATTTATTTAATGTTTACATTACACTAAGTTGTTAAATTGTACATTTTTATTTATTTAATTAAATATTATTATTATATACTTACTTATCTTTATTTTTTTTGCGTTTGTTGCATGAATTTGTGAAAGTTGTATGTTCACCCTTGTCTTCTCTTTTTTTATGACTTTTTTTTGTTGGGCTCGCAACCGAATAAATATCTATCGATTGTGCGCTTTATCGTTCCAGATCGGAAGATACTGGACCAAAGAAGAGCGAAAGAAACATCTGGAGAAATCTCGCGAGAGGAAACAACGACAGGAAATCCTGCTAGCGTCGCGCAACATTGAAGAAGTAACCGAAGACACCATGAAACATTTGGACAAAACATCATCGAGGAAAACGGCAAACAACATAGACAACACCGTTAAAAAACACAAAACCAAGGGTAGGACGCATAAAGAGGGTTACGATAACTTTTCTACGGTTCAAGAGGTAATCGTTCACGGTCCGAAGGTGCCGAATTCCAATAGCAAAATGATGGGCCTTCTGTCCGTGACGACCGTTTAATTTAGGGGCGTGGCGTGGGTGTACGATAGGCTTGGAAGCTTTTCGCTTAAAAATACCTACACTTGGCTTGGTTTTAAGTTCTCTTCGGAATCTGTGTAACGGCCGTTTCGTTTTATGTAAGTTTATTTTTTATTTATTGCGTTTCAGTTGAGCAACTTACGCGAAAATGGGATATGCCTGTAGATTGCGAACGCCACGGTACTAGGGTCAACCTGAGCAAAAGTCTCCACTTATCTCTGTCATATTCCTAAACATTTTTCGCCTTTTTTTAGCACTTAAAGAAGTGTTAATTATTCTGTTATTGATTGTTCCCTTTTTTCTGATTTGGGGTAAGATTGAACGAAACTTTAGTTAGTGCCAGCGTATTTTTTCTTAAAATATATACATCTTGTCCGTAACTATAATAATATAATTTATTCAATATTTTCAACGTCCTGTGTCTAACAGGCTATTGAAAATAATTTTTAAAAACGGTTTTTCCCCATTTTCATTAAAACTGCTTTTCATGTTTTGTGGATTTTTGAGCGTTTCCAGTCAATGACGTGAAACTTGTAATTTACATGTAAAACGCCTTCAAAATTGTTTTTCATTGCTACGTAATAAATATATAGAGTGACCCAGCTTTAAACCGTCAAAAGATCGTTTTTTAGGTAAAACTGATCTTCGAGATACAGAAAGTCAAAGATTTTATAAAAAATCATTTTTTTTTAGTAATTATTCTGTATTTCTGATTTTAAAATAAATAAGAACTAAAAGTTTACATTTTCACGAAAGTATATATTTTCACATGACAATTGCTTCGACAACACCGTGTCTTCATCAAATGTAATATTTGCAAAAAAAACGTTAATTAATGTTGTTGTGACAATTTATGTTCAATAAAGGAGAGGTATTTAAATCTAATTGATCGTTAAGCAATACATTTGAATGTCTGTCTCATTTTGTTAATCTCCATGGCTTCCAATAAATTTAATTTTCTGCTTTTTGTGGCTGTATGTAAAATATCAAAATTGTCGTCAAAAATATGTTTTTCTGTGCTTAAGTGTGTACCATAATAAGAATCTAGACTACTGTTTCTAAACGCTCTTTTATGTTCGTTAATGCGAACATAAAAGAGCCTGTACACACCTGTCGTATAATTTATATTGGACAAACAGATAGATCCTTCAAGAAACGCATTAACAAACATAAAAGAGCGTTTAAAAACAATAGTCTAGATTCTAATTATGCTACACACTTAAACACAGAAGAACACATTTTTGACGACAATTTTGTTATTTTACATACAGCCACAAAAAGTATAAAATTAAATTTATTGGAACCCATGGATATTAACAAAATGAGACATTCAAATGTATTGCTTAACGATCAATTAGATTTGAATACCCCTCCTTTATTGAACTTAAATTCTCGCAACAACATTAATTATAGTTTTCTGGTCATTTTTCGGTATATATAGTAGCAGGTAGTTTGCAAATATTACATTTGATAAAGACACGGTGTTGTCGAAGCAGTTGTCATGTGAAAATATATAATTTTGTGAAAATCTGAACTTTTAGTTCTTATTTATTTTGTTAAATCGATTTTCATCAAGTAAAAGCCATCTTTCAATATCTGATTTCTATTCAAATTGACCTGCTAATTTGCTGTAATACAGCGGTTAGAATGAAAGTGTCCATTCCAGTGGCGCCACAGAGGGTAATTTAATTGATATTTATAGGAAAATTCAGCATTTTTTTAGATTAAGCCATTTTAAAAAAATGCCTTTTCTAGTTTTTTCGTAAGGCGTTTTGATTTTCAAAAATATAAGTAAAATCGAGGAAAAAAAATTAATCTTTACTAAAATGGAACACTACGTTAAAATAAATAAAATGTTGTTTATTCGCGATTTGTGTAATATTTCAACATCAACAATTAGATTACGGTCTGTGACGCCTCTGGAATAGATTCTTTTTTGTAATTGCATTAAAAAAATCACGTTATTGCCGTAAATAAAAATGTCAAACTTTACCATAATCAGAGGTTTTAAATAATTAATAAAAAAAAAACGATTTTTTATTAAAAAAAAGTGAACACCTTGTATCTGGAAAACAAATCAAGTTAGGATATATATTTTTTTACTTGATACGTTTGACTGTTTAACTCTGGTTCACCCTGTACAATAAATAGTAATAACTAATATAATAAAATAAATAATAAATACGTAATTGCTTTCGAGCTATTCCGGAGAATCTTTAACACACAAATTATAATGGTTTCTAATATTCTATGTTATAAATTGTGTGTCTGTCTTTATTTAATTTACATATTTTTTACGTACGCCACAGTTTCTTTCAAAAAGAAATCACATTTTTAGAATCTTGAAAATAAAATTTATTTTTTAAAAAGCAGCGGAGTACCATTTTCGTTTTGAGAGAAATAGTAAAAAAATACTTTTTAAACTGTTTCTCCGCATTGTAAGCAAGTACGAAAATCCAACAAAATATCTTTAGTGGTTTCAATGAAAATTGGGAAAACCAGTTTCATTTCTTTCTGTTTAAATAATTAATAATAAAAAGTCATTTTGATGCCCTATTTCATTAAAAAAATAATAATTGTCAATCAATCATACCGTCATTAGATGATATATTGGGGTGTTCATATTTTCCTTAAATGCGTCAAATGCGCCTGATAAATGTGGTACTTACGAAGTGTCAGAGCCCATGTTGATTATTGACCTCTGAAATTTGAAACGACTTTTTTAATTTTCTTTCTTAACGTTTTTTGATAATGACTTCAAAGAGACAGTTTGTGATTCGGAAAGTATCTAGTGTAATTCTAGAATTTGCTAGGCAGTATTTTCTCAAAATATGTCCAGATGTTTGGGAAAAAAAGTAATTTGAAGTGAGCAAGTTGACAGCAACTTCCGGTTGAACCGGAAGTGAAAGGACGTTGAAAATATTTTTAAAAAGAAGTACACTTCGCGCTTAACTTAACCTCAAAAATTGAAAGGCGTAAGATGAAAAACCCTATATATTCTCAAAATTAAAAAAGGAGACTTTATTAATATTCTCATAGAATCTTTACTGTTATCATTATTATATCCCAAATTTTGGGAACTGCCATTCAGAACTAACAGATTCTTATTCTTTTATTTTTTTTATGAGATATTGTAATTAAAGGCAATTTTTACTATTCAATTCAATTCAATTAAATTCAATAAATAATAACGTAACCGGGTTTTCAATGGTCTGGGGCTTGTTGGAGTTGTTTAATCGTGGAATAAAGGCAACACAAGAAAATCATAAAAAAATTGCTTAGTCTAAAACCACTATTTTAATATGCTGGGATGCAGATTTTGCCTAAGTTTAGACATATCATTGATAGGTAATTCACCACATCCTCACCTCTTTTGCATAGGTCTGCCCTATTTGTTATATGTGCTAGGCATCATTTTTGGTAGACAATGTTAGATTTCCTCCCAACGACATAGTTTCCTTGAACACCCTGTACTATGGTATAAAAAATAGTTGTCCCACTATAGTAACCCAAAAATGTGATGTTTTATCTTAGGGTGTACATATATGTCCGTTGTTATTGCTTTACTGGAGCGTTAAATTATTTCAGAATGTGTGTTCTTTTTTTTTGTGGATTATTGACTTCACTTCGGTACCAGTTAGCCCAAACAATTTGAAATAATAAGTTATTTATATTAACGCATCATTTTTAATTAAAAAAAAAAATTGTGATACTGTAAATTTATTATACAATAAAGTTAGATTTTTTCTAAAAGGTATGAAAGGTTGCAAAAAAATATATATTTATTGGAGTAGACATCAATATTACCCAAAACTGTGCTAGTTTTTGCATTAAGTAAGACTTAAATTATTGTGAGCATTTTATGCCAAATTTAGTTATTATCTCAATTACTACTGCTTATAAAAAAATGTTAAGCCGAGTATCTAGATATATCTAGTTGTATAATATAAATGTCAAAAATAAATATTTAAGCAGATCCTTCGTTTTGAGTTTTTTTTACTGGGAGACCCAAAACCCTCAAAAATTTGAAAATTTTATTTTCATTATGTTTATTATATCTTTTGTTGTTTGTAATGAAAGGAATTAACTAACAGCCCTTATTTTAAAACAAATTTCACTTATTTCCCTATTTTTTAGGTAGATCGCATTGTAAATATTAGAGATTTCCTTTTTGCGGCGCCACCTGGCGGAAGACGGCCTAAGTGGGCGTTTTTGATCAATTGTCGATCTCTGCCTTATGGTAATTTTGAAATGCATATTTAAAGTGTAATTTTATTTTTAGGATAACTCCGCCTGCACTAAAGTTGAACTGCTACTTCGATTTCAATGTTGCCGGTCCCAAGCCCGGGAAAAAGGAGAAGGGTCCTTCCACTTTTCGTTTTGTTTAAATTTACTTAACGAAAAGTTTCAGAAAGTTTATTTTATTTTGTGCCTTGACCTTGCAAAATTTTAATTTTTATTATTTTTTAAGTTTTCAATTGGCTGTTTTGTTCTAACTTTAATCATTTATTCGTTAATTCTTGAAATGAAGATGACATATTTGTCGGCAAAACAGGTCCTCTCTGACTGAATAGAGGCGACTGAGAATTTTTACGCTTGAATTGTAGCTTCTTTGGCATGTCATCAATGCTATAGAATATTTAATTATTAATATAATGTGTTGGACAATAAAATTATTTGGAATTAAATTGCGGCACCTATTTTGGAAATATAAAGTTTAGAACATATAATAAAAAGAGAGCTTTATTCAGCGCAGCTTATCGATGTTTTTTATGTTCACCCGATTACTCATGGATGTCGCCACCAATCCTCTCTTAGCAGACTTCTTTTACAGATAACAGATGGCGACACCAATCCCAAAATTTCAAGTTTTTTTGCTATACACGTGAAGTTTTTTTGGTATTATTTTGTTTTTTTCATTTGTTTCGCTTAACATAATATATCGAAATCATTTCCGTAGAGTAATAACTGCTGGAAATACGGATTCATTTAGTGTTGTCGCTACAATGTACAGGGTAGGTAGTGTGTATATCGTTTTAATTTTTAATCGTGGTGAGTGTTTGTCCCTTTTTTTGCAGAGCAGATGTGCGGCCTATGTTATACGAGCAATTTAAAAATGAACTTTCGGGAAAAGCAGTTAAAAAAGCGACCAAGGGTAAAATATTTTGCCAGTTATAAGCGATGCATTTTAATAGAATTTTCGTTATGAGTACAAACAAATTTGTCATACGGACACGTCAACAGTGGAATTTAATAAAAAGTGTTTTTAAGTAAGATGAAAATTTAACAAAATAAATAAGATCTAAAAGTTCAGATTTTCACGAAATTATATATTTTCACATGACAATTGTTTCGACAACACTGTGTCTTTATCAAATGTAATATTTACAAACTACCCGCTACTATATATACCGAAAAATGAGAATAAAGCCTTAATTAATGGTGTGAGAATTTAAGTTTAATAATGGAGAGGTATTTAAATCTAATTGATCGTTAAGCAATACATTTGAATGTCTCATTTTGTTAATCTCAATGGCTTCCCATAAATTTAATTTTCTACTTTTGTGGCTGTACGTAAAATATCAAACTTATCTTCAAAAATGTGTTTTTCTGTGTTTAAGTGTGCGCATAATTAGAATCTAAACTATTATTTGTTAACGCTCATTTATGTTCGTTAATGCGTTGCTTGAAGGATCTACCTGTTTGTCCAATATAAATTTTAGGACAAGATCCCCATTTCAACCTGTAGACACCTGTCGTAAAATTTATATTGGACAAACAGGTAGATCCTTAAAGAAACGCATTAACGAACATAAAAGAGCGTTTAAAAACAATAGTCTGGATTCTAGTTATGCTACACACTTA